TCATTGCGAGTAGTTGTACAGGTTAGATACTTCTGTGTTTTGTGCTAAAACCTGGTGCCTCTATTTTCTCTCCATTGATTTTTTTTTTATTTTTTAAGAAATAAAGAGCCATTCTAACTTCTCTTTTTTTACCTGATAGCCCTTTAACCTTTAAATATTTGAATGTAACTATTGCTTCTTCTGCTGTTCTCCCTTCCCCTGCATGGATGATGACTTTATCCATTCTGGTCTCTTTCATTTTGGAAATGAGCATTATCTTACATATTCTTTATTGAGTGCATATCTAATGTTCTCTGTTCCAGTTTTATGCCTCTAGGTTCAGATCTAAGAATTATCAGGGTCTTGGTACCTGTTATGTTTTCCTTAAATAGCTTTAGAGGTACCAACAGAGAGCTTTGGTTTTAAGTCTGCCATGAGTATTGAGCCTGGATTTTTATTTCAAAGATCATTCATTCTCGAATTGAGTATTTATAGAGTACACAGAGGCTCCTTATTTGTCTTTCTCCTCCTCGGACTCTTGGGGTGTGAGAAGCAAGCAGTAAGCAAGGAAAGGAGAAAGCCTTTTAGATTTGGTTTCTCTCCTCCATCATCTCTGCTGTTGTTGGAGAATAATCCAGATACTGAGCACATAGACTTTTGCCTTAACTATATGTTTCAGGAGTTTTATTGTTTTCTCATGAAAACAGGCAACAGAGAAATCTAGAGCATGGAGAATAATTTAAAAGCAAATCTTTTTTCATAGCTGTTAAGACTCCTAAATGTCAAATATATTTTGTAATCAAATTCCTGCCAGCGCATTATCGGGGCTCCCTGTGCAGTGAAGAATTAGGAGCACTGTGAGAGGGATGGAGCTGCCTAGGTTTGGATTCCAGCTTTACTGCTTCCCATGGGTGAGACCTTAGTTTCCTCAGCTACTACAGTGAGGTTAATAATAGTACAGTTGTCCCCCGGTATCCGCGGTTTCACCCTCTGTGGTTTCAGTTACCCACGACCAACCACAGTCTGAAAATATTAAATGGGAAATTCCAAAAAGAAGCAATTTGTAAGTTTTAAATTGAGCGCTGTTCTGAGTAGCGTGATGAAATCTCATGCTGTCCCGCTTGTCCGTTCCATGTGGGACCTGAATCATTCCTTTGTCCAGTATATCCATGCTGTATTCCTGCCCACTAGTCACTTAGTAGCTGTCTGGGTTATCAGACAGACTGTTCACAGTACCACAGTGCTTGTGTTCAGGTAACCTTTATTTTCCTAATAATGGCCCCAAAGTACAAGAGTAGAGATGCTGGCTGTTTGGATGTACAAAAGAGAAGCCATAAAGCGCTTCCTTTAAATGAAAATATGAAAGTTCTCTACTTAATAAGGCATTTTATTATCACACATGATCATACAATGGATGAGCACAGTACAATAAGATATTTTGAGACACGCACATACCCCACATCCACATAACTTTTATTATAGTATATTGTGATAATTGTTCTATTTTCTTAGTTATTTTTGTTAATCTCTTACTGTGCCTAATTTATCAATTAAAATTTATCCTACGTATGTATTGGGGAAAAAAACACAGTATGTGTAGGGTTCAGTACTAGCCATGGTTTCAGGCATCTGCTGGTGGTCTTGAGACGTATGCCCTGTGGATAGGGGAGAGGGGACCATTGTACCAAACCTGGTAGGGTTGCTGTGAGCGTTAAATGAGTGTATTGCTATAACATGCTTTAGAACAGTGTGCCGCATACTGTATGCTCACTAAATGCTGTTATCATGGTTGTATCGATTGAGGTAAATTTCATTTCTTCACCCAGAACAAGAAACAGTATGGAGATAAATAGATGTTTTCAGAAGGGAGCCTGCATCTTTAGTAAGCTACTTTTAAGTTTGGGGAAACAGTTAATTAAATGTTTTCATTCTATCCTATTACTTAGAGAACTGCGTAGGTCTAGCTTTCTTGGTTTTCATGGAATTTATAATGTCTCCAATCTTTAAGAGCTATCGGAAATGTATTCTTAAATTGTTCATCATTAAAGTTAAAAGTGCTTTCTTGTTCCATGATTGAGGGATCCCTGCTGGTAAATATTTACTCGTGGAAGTGTCAGCACAGAAATGCCTGGTGACACCATCTTCATTACAAACATACCCCGTGTCCTGCAGTGTGAACTTCGTTGTCCGTTCCCCTGCCAATCTGGACAACTTGGTCTTAGTATTCTGGCTTCCTGCTTTCTGAGGAGATGGGGTGGCCGGGAAAAGTGATTCCATTTTTAGTATAATGGTTTCAGGATCCCTGAGACTCCAGTTGAGCTATAAACTAGGGGAAATGGTAACTAACTGAACCCACCTTCTACTGTTATTGACAGTAACCTTGGCTTAGGTTAGCTTTAGCGGTGGGTCTGGCAATTCAGAGGAGTGTGTTCATTTACTTTCAGTTAACTGCACATTATGGACATTCTTCACTATAGGGTGTTTAACAGTTCTTCCTCTTACATTGGAGGCACTTGTACAGAGAACTAGAATAGCTATGATTGATGATTATGTCTATGGTTTGTTGAGTGCCTACTATATCTAAAGCATTCTGCCTACGCCGTAACTGGGGTGAATAGAGTAGTCTCTTTTTCCTAGCAAGGTAGGGAGAAAGACAGGAATGTAAGATGGAATAAGACAAGTTTTATGACTGAAGTCCAAGCGGGAGGCCAAGTGATCAGTTATTTTCAGTTAGGAGGTCTAATTGTATTTACCTAAGAGGTAGCATTTGAGCTGAGCCTGGAGGAAGTGGTAGGGTTTCAGGAGCTAGAGAAAAAGGCTGCGGTCTTTGCTAGGTGGAGAGAAGAGTGTGGACAGAGGCCTGGATGTGTGGAAGGGCTGGCAGGGCGAGACGTGGTGTGCTAGAGACAAGGCTGAGCGCTCTGTAGGGTCTTGAGCACTCTGCTTTGGAGATGGGTCTTGATGATGAAAGGCTGTTGAAGGTTTCTGCAGAGGCGTTGAAGTCAGATCTGAGATTGTGAAAGGCAGCTGTCGGTGTGTGCAAGATGGTCGACAGAGGTCAGAGAGAAGCGCCAGACTGACAGTTGGGCCTGTGGTGGGGTTTCAGGCATGGTCGGAGGAGGGCTTGAAACAGTGCATCAGGAGTGAAAAGGACAAGATGCATTTCAGTGAACTTTCAAAAGTTCAAGTGACATAATTTGGTAACTGGTTTACTCTGGGAGAAAGGAAGCTTGAAGAATTAAGACTGGCAGATTTCTAGGTTGGGTGACCAGAAAAACAACATGCCAATAATTAAGCTTTGAACATAAGAGAGGGATCAGTTTTGAGGGCTGGGTGGAGGACATATAACAGTGTGTTTGGTGATGTGTAATTTCATGGCTTTTACAGATACCCGCATGGATATATTCTTTAAGCAGTCAGAAATTCTGGTCCAGCAGATAGGAGGGAGAGATTTGGATCTGGGAGTCAAGCCTTCTAAGAAATCTTTGAGGACTTGGGTGGGAGGTCTTGGCCTAGAAGAGCAGAGTGAGAAGACCTGAGGACAGAGGGCTGACAAATGCTTCTCATTTAAGGAGTGAATGGAAGAGGCACTAGAAAGATTAGGGTCCCAGCAGAGAGTTTCTGCAGGGACAGGCTGGATCAAAACTGGGAGATGCTATAACTGAGAAGAAGCTTTCGAATAGGGTAAGAAGTCTAACTCTTACCATTGTATTGTCTTTTTAATTTTTTTATTGTAGACATTTTCAAACTACACAAAAGTAGAGAGAAAAGTATAATGGTCCACCATGTTCCCATTATTGGGATTCAATTATTATAAATATGTTATCAATCATCCTTCATCTCCCCACATTTCTGGGGAAGAAAAGGGAAATAGAGTACTTTAAAGCATTATCAGACTCATGTCATTTCTTCCATAATTTAGGTTGTATTACTTACTTCGTAAGGACAATTAGTTTTTACGCAACTGTAAGTCATTATCTCACCAAGTTAAAAAAGTTAATTCCTCAATATCATCTACTAAAACTTCTTTTCATTTAAATAATTTGAAGTACTTCAGAGCCACAGCAGTGATGCTTTGTAATTCCACAGAGATTACATCTCATTCTCAGTACCCATTTGGGAAATGGTTAGTTTCCTGAAGAAGATGATAAAATGCTCTCTGCAGAAAGGATGCTTCTGCATGGTACACGATGGCTCTTGATGGGAGGCTGTATTTTATTTTGTGTATACACTTATCCATTGGGAATAGGAACAGAAATCTAAGATTGGGCTTCTGGTTTTAAGATCATATGAATGAAAACATATGTCCCATGGTACTGACCCACATACCATCCAGTTCCTAATTCTGGAGCAGTGATCCTCAACTGGGACACATGGCCCTCTCTGGAGATATTTCTGATTGTCATGACTTTGAGGGAAAGGGGAGACTGGCATCTAGTGGGTAGTGAGAAGTTGGGGAATGCATGGGAGAGCCCCCATAACAAGGGCTTAACCTGCCCAAGATACCAATAGTGTCAAGGCTGAGAAACCCAGTATTTGAGGAATAGCATATTCCAGAGGAGAACCGCCCTTTCCAATCTGTTGTTATATTACATGTTTGTATACTATGTTCCCATTAAAAATTTTCCTCTTTTCTTTGGGGAGAGGTAATGTCCCTATAGGTGGCTTTCCTTTGATCATTAGTGTCACCTAAACTGGGTTTGGCCAGATCTTCGAGCCTCCCAAACTTCATTCCAGGTTTTATTTTCTTGGTGTCCTCGGACTCTAGGAACGCATAGACGTGATTCAGTTTCTTCAGGTAGGAGATTTAAGGTGGAATGCGCTTTTCCAAGACATGTTTACTGGTCTGAGCAAAGTTCTCTCTTTGGAAGGAGACACACTAGCTTCAGGGTGCTATTTAACAATAAGCACGCAGGGCTTGTTAAACCAAGATGTAACCTATATGTCTTCACCCTAATTTGAAATTCAGCAGCCATTTGTAGTAATTGAGAAGTAAATTATTTTACCTTGTTTCTTTGTAGGAAATCCAGTTGGAGCATGCAAAGCAAGCCTTTGTGCTAAGGGACAATGCCAGGACCGGAAAAGTCACTGCCATTGACTTCCGGGACATCATGGTCACCATCCGCCCCCACGTCTTGACACCTTTTGTAGAAGAATGTCTAGTAGCTGTAAGTTGTAACTTTTCCTTGAAGTTAGTTTATGCTGAAGTAATTCATTCTACCTGACATGAGCTCAGTAAATCCTTATTGATAAGAACAATTCTTACACATTACGTAGAGTTTTCTTCTGTTTAAAATACGAACATTTTCTTAATGTGATCGCGTATATTACGAAACTTACAGAGTATCTTTGGGCTAGTTTTAGTGGGTAGGTTAATTTGTTATCTGGGCAGTATGGAATACCTTAAAGAAATGTATTAACTGATTTTAAAAAGAAAAACAAATGTATGATTGCATATTAGTTTTGCTTTATATTTTGAGAGACGTGAAATGCTAATCTTTGCTTCTTGTCTGTTCTCCGAGGTGATAAATTAACAAAAAAAAAGTGTGGACAGATATATTTGAGAGGTCAGCAGAACAGAAACTTTAAATCTTCGATTTACATGTTCATTCAATATATGTGATGAGGTGACAGTGGCATAGGGGAGTGGAGGGACTCCCCTGCATCTTGGAGCTTCCATACTAGTGGATGTCCAGCCACTCCTGACCTCCTGGACCCTGAGAATGTCCTGGAACATTCTGTGGTGGTGGTTCCCAAGCCTTGGTCGTGGAGCTTAAGAATCAACAGGGATAATTATGAAAAAATTCAGATTCTAAGGTTCCTTCCAGGCTTACTGATTCACCATCTACAGGTGTTGAGGCCCTGAAATCTTAATTTCTAAAGCTTCCTCGATAATTCCGATGGTCACTCAGATTTGGGAACCCTTATGTTCATTGGTCAGTGTCCTTTTGTTCATCCCGGGGGGAAGACTTTTGAGTGTTTTCAGCATCATCTGGGTTTCCCACAGTGTTTACTTACCATAGGCAGGAGCTTAGGCTAGTTTTTCCTTTGTTCCTCCTTTTCCCCTGGTGCCTGTTTCTGGAAATGTGGCGTTCTGACAAGGCCTTCTCCATTCTGGCACTGTGGCCATCTAGCTCCTGTCCTTGGCCCCCCTTCCCTACTCCATTCTAAACTCTCATGTCAGCTATTCTAAATGATTACTGAGTGAAGATTTATGTGGTTGTTACCTTATAAAGAACTGCTTTCCTAATAAAAATATTTTGCCTTGTTAGGGAAGGATAGAATTTGAAACCCCAAACTGGAGTTCCATTCATAATGGACATGCTGTCTGTTTCCCTTGTCCTCTGTGAAGAAATATGGTTTCTTACAAATTTCTACGATCAGAACCCTGACCAGTCTTAACTCCCATCAAAGCATATGACATCTCATAATTTTACCCTAATATGCTTGTTTGCTAGAAATCCCACCAATGTAAAGTCTGTACTTAAATGATTATTTATTGCTAGTTATAAGTAACATGACAAATCATGATATTAATGTTAGATTGGCCACTTTTCATAGTATGTTTGTGTTGGTATAATACAGTTTTGCATATATAAGCACACGCATGTGTGTAATATAGTTTTGCATGTATAAGCCTTTAAGAATTGCTCATTAGATGAAATAAACAAACTTATAAAACATTTCCAATGGAAATTTGAACTCTGTAAATTACTACTGGTCCTGCTGTTATAACCCTACACATGTATTTATTTAGTTTTCTAGGATTGTATGTGGAGAGTACAAGTTCTGGTCATGATTAGTTGCAGTTACTTCTAAAAATCATTTATAGCTTTTTGTTTTTTTTAATGTGAAAGAAAAATACTTATGGCTATTTCTTCTTAGTCATTCAATCCTGATTACTTCCAAAACTAGCATTTGATATATGTACGTCTGAATCTTCTTCATTATATAAATTCTTTTTTAATTTTCCCCCCTCTCCTATTTTCATCTTATTTGAGGCTGCTGGAGGTACCACATCCCATCAAGTCAGTTTCTCCTATTTTAATGGATTTAATTCTCTCCTTAACAACATGGAACTCATTAGAAAGATCTACAGCACTCTGGCTGGCAACAAGAAAGATGTGGAGGTGACTAAGGGTAAGTGAGAATAAATCTGAATTCTTACCTGCAAGTGTCTTGGTGCATTGTTATTAGAGTGAAGATGGCAACCAAGAGGTTGTACTGTAGATTTTTCTATTCCGTTGACACATATTAACTCCATGGTATGTGTGACTTTTCCATCATTTAATCAGGCAAAAGCAAACAAAACAATCTTCGGCAAGTTTTATTGGGTTGTCAGAAAAGTCATGAAGTATTTTTTCTATGTTTTTCGTTGCAAAAATGCATCATGACTTTTCTGACAACCCGATAAATAAACCAGATAGTCTTTGAGTGAGGGAACCATGTAAAGTTTCTTAGATGTTTTCAAATCTTGCTAGAACCTGAGCTAAATTGGCAGCCTCTCAAGTGGCCTTCAAAAGTGCATAAGGAATTCCATAAATTTATATTGGTAACCATGTAAGGTGATCTATAATCTAGAAACAAAATATTAGCATTTTAATGTTTTGGGTTTTTTGGGGGGTTTTTTTCCCCCTAAAACAGAGAATTCCCTTACCAATTTCACAGCTTCATTAATACAACCTCCTGGGACCTATACTTATGAAGTTTCCGATTGCTTCCTAGTTTCCCCTGACCTGAAACTTGAACAACATCCCATGTCCTTTATTCAAAGGCTTCACATGACATCAAGCTTTTAAAGTCAATGTTCCAGAAACTCATCCGCACACGCTTTCCAAAAGAACTCCAAAAGCTCTTACCCTATTTGGATTGACTTGAATGCGACAACTGATAATAATAAAATTTTGTGATGAACACTCATTCCAGTGACTTGAGTTAATGCTACGTTTAGTGGCTATTCCTTTTTGAATCTTTCCCTTTTTAACTCTTTTTCCATGCAGAGGAGTTTGTTCTGGCAGCTCAGAAATTTGGTCAGGTTACACCCATGGAAGTTGACATCTTGTTTCAGTTAGCAGATTTATATGAGCCACGGGGGTAAGTTGGCCTTTTTCTTTTTTTTTTTTAATTAGCTTAATAAAAGGAGGTTACGAGGTGGGGGTTAGGAGGAGCTCAGCAAAGCTGGAGAAAGAAGGCAAATTAAAGATGACTCTGAAATATGGCAAACAAAAAAGGGAATGTTTTAAAATTCCATAATGTAAATTTTAATACAGTTTTATTTCATTGTTTTTGCTTGGTTTGTTTTGTTTTGTTTTCCTTCCAGACGTATGACCTTAGCAGACATTGAACGAATTGCTCCTCTGGAAGAGGGAACTCTGCCCTTCAAGTTGGCTGAGGCCCAGAGACAGGTGGGCAGAAAAAGCAAACTTGCTTCCTGGTGTTTCTTTAGTAGGGCACCCCCAAGCCCCTTTTCACTTGCAGTTGCCTTTCTGGCACTAGTATCTGACCTACCATGTTTCCATTTTGCACCAAGAATCCAGACAATTTCAAAAGGCTGGGAAGAGAAATTACTTAGAGATGTTCTGATTAACAGAGAGTTGGCATTTTTGCTTGTTTGTTTTTTTTCAAAGATGAGGTGATTTCCTATAGGCACTGAAAGGTTAATTCTCCAAAAATAGGCAGAAGAGTCTTTCTTCTTCCCTAAACCTCGGGTGAGAGATGTGGGGCCGGAGCCCTGTTTGGGTGTCACTGTCCCAGCCAAGCGGCACGTTGCTAAATGAAAGCCGTCTTTGCTTCGCAGAGAGGTACTTCATCAGCGCAGGGCCTAACTGCCTTGCCTTCCGTTTTTCTGAATATCAAAATGAGATAATTTTGTTTAGTCTGGAGTCATAGTTTGAAGGCTTTTAGACCTATTTTCTCTGTGAAAGGATTCGTAAGTTATGTGGAAACAATTTGAGGAATGCTAAATTTTATTTTATGGTTAACAGAAACCAATCTCTTGCAGTTGTGGGAGTCAGAAACTTAAGACACGAGACCTCCTCGTTTAACTCTTGCTCGACTTTCTAGCGATCAGGATTAGAGACTCAAAGCCTTCATAGCATGGGTTGTCCTTACATGATATTTGTAAAATAAATCCACTCACCGACGAGCGTCGTTTCAGAAAAATACCTCCTTTAAGGCAAAGCCATCCCTGAATCCTGTGAGACTTAACAGTTTTTGGCTTGGAGCTCTGGGTCTGTACAGAGACGCCAGTTTGACCACAATGGGTTGATGCGGGCAACATTTTTAGGACTGGCAGGCCTTCAGCCAGGACCCCCTCCTTTCAGCTCCTTCCCACCCGAATGCAGCGGTGAGTTTTGTGTGCAGCGTGTAAGTCAAAGTGGTGGGTGTGTGCTCAGTAAATCCTAAACTAGGCACCTCTGGAAAAGCAGCTGGCCGTTGTTAAAAGAAGCCGGTTTCCCCGAGTGCAGGAGAGAGAACTGTATAATCGCGTGCAGAGGTGGAAGCAACGCTGCTCTCCCTTCCCCTTCATTTTAAAACGCTGCTTACCCGTGTCCCTATGCCACTCGTTGTTGTAGACGTTTTGGGATTAGGAAAAAGCCGAGAAGTTTGGGGTTTTTTTTAGTTCCCTCCTGTCCTCCTTTTGCCAGTAGCATCCCACAGTTTTTTTCTCCAAAGCTTTTGAGAGTTTGTGATGGGGTGGTGCTTTTTGATTACTGGCCATGAAAGGGTTAGAGGAGGTTGATGAGATTTACAGTGGGGAAGGGTGGACTGCTGCTTAGAGGTTTAGAGCAATTCGCAATGGCCTTGCCTGGAATATTCTTTACTCTGTGAACCCCCGCGGGCCAGACAACATTGAAAGACTCACGCGGCAGAGGTCGTCCACCTGGCAGGCCGAGTGCTAACACTGACCCTTGATGGAAGAATGTAGGAACAGGAACCTTTCTTGGCTCGTTTCTGAGGATGCTACATTGCTAGCTTCAGAAAAGTTAAATAAAAGTCTGGGATTTCATGTACAGTATTTCATCTTTTAAATGAAGAATTAGTGATAGTGGTAGGTTCCCTCCATTATTTTCAAACTATTTCCACTCATTTTTATGCTCGGCCCTTTTGAAGTATTGCAATTTTTTTGTCTTTTTTTTTTAAAGTATAGTTGGCATACAATATTATATTAGTTTCAGGTGTACAACACAGTGATTCGATATTTAGATATTGTACAATGTGCTCACCACACTAAGTCCATCTGTTACCGTGTAAAGCCATTACACTGTTATTGACCATATTCCCCTTCACCTTTTCACCCATCCCTCCACCCCACCTGCAACCATCAGATTGTTCTGTGTTTCTATGAGTCTTTTGTTTTGTTTGTTCATTTGTATTGCATATTTATATCCATATACATAAAATAGTGCCTTTCTTAGGGATGTACCTGTCAAAATGAAGTTACTGTTGATGTCCATCTATACAGGGATACACCATACAATTTGCAAAAGAAATGCTTACCATTCTTAAAGATGCATATTTCTGTGTAAAGCTGTTTTAAGCAAAATGACCGAAGGAGATTCTAAGTTACCTCATTGTATTGGAATTGTGTTACATTCTCAACAACTAAAATTCAGTGGGTTGCTGGTGTTGGTAATTATTTTCATTGCTCACCAATTTTAATTATCGTGCTTTTTAAAAAAAAGATTGTACTGAATGTTTTTATTCATTGTACAGGTATTTATTAAGCACTAACTATATGCCACCCTCATTTGACAAATCTGTAGACAGAGAAGTGTAACCACTGAGTGGCCTGAAATATGAATTTAGAAAAGATGACAAAAAAAGAGGAAAAAGTAACAATAATACAACCACCTAGTTGTAGCAACTGTAAACATTTTGAATATCTCTTGGTGGTAGGGAAGCCAAAATGCTAGTATTATTTTTATATGCATATACATACCCACAAGTAATTTTAATAAAAATTAACATATTGCGGTAGTCTTTAACATAGTTTTTTAAAGATTATGAAGTATTTCAAGTATTTAAAGAGGTAAAGAGAATCATATCATGAATACCTGTCTACCCACCATATTCTTTTTAATCTTTTTTCATTTATAATACCTTATGAACATTTTTTAATATCAAATATTCTTTTACTATATCATTTTTATGACATATAATTTTGTTTTAAGGCTATAGCATTATATTTAACTGATCCTCTATCATTGGACATTGAGGTTATTCTCAGTTTTTGCTCTTATAAAACAGTACTGCTTTTTAACGTTCTTATAGCTTGATCCATGTTTACATACACAATTATTTTTTAGGATAACTTTTTCTAAGTAGACCTGCAGGGTCAGAGGTTATGTACATTTTAAGGATTTGGGTGTATATTACCAAGATTCCTTTCAGTTTGTACACCAGTTTTGATTAAACACCAGGTTTGAGAAGCCCTGTTTTTTATCAACTCTTGACAGGCAGGGTATTGCCATTAAAAAACAAACAAAAACAAACCCAAAACCTACCAATTTGATTGATGCAGAATGGTGTCTCATTAATATTTTTAAATTGATATCTCTTTGATCACTAATAATTGAACATTTGAAAATAGGCTCATAACATTGTTTTTGGTACAAAATGGCTTTCATTGTGTTCAAATTTGATTTGAAATATTAATAACAATAACTTTTTATTTAAAAAAACTTACTGAATCTAACCCTACTTTCCTTTTTGGCATTTTAGTTGTATTACGAATTTAGAAACCTGTGGGTAGTTTTTAAAAATAACACATGCTCATTTTTGTACTGTCTTCTTTTTTTATTTCCTACCTTTTCATTCTCCAATTCCTGTGCGTGCAAAGAAGAAGGCCTCCATGGATTCATCTCGCCCAGTTCTCTTACAAGTCGCAGAGTCAGCCTACAGATTTGGGCTGGGTTCTATTGCTGGAGGTACGTCATGGATGAGTGCAAATTTTTCATTTTTATTATCCTCTTATTTTTTCTCTGATGTTCCACCTTGAAATACTGAAGGACAGAGCCTTCTCTAGTCTTTCCCTAAGCCAGTCACCTGTCTCTGCCTGAGATGGGACAACAACAAAGGGACCTTCTTTTCCGTACCTGCACATGATCACGGTCTTAGGAGTGGCTTTTTTCTCTTATCTGTAGATAAGCTTTCTAAAGACAGGTTAACAGTGAGGTTAGGTTATAGTAATGTGCTTTTTTTAAACTGTCTATATGACGTCTTTTTATCAGGAAGCTAATGAAATTCCACAGTTGTTTATTAAGAGTACAGAAAGTTAATACCGTTTTAAAATCTATCTGCAAAATTTGTTTTTTACTTTTATCAGCCTTCCCTTTGACTTTAACCAACTCCCCCCTTCCGCTGACAGACCTTCATTCCTGCTGAAATGTTGGTATTCTTTCATTGTAGCTGTGGGAGCCACTGCTGTGTACCCGATCGATCTTGTAAAAACTCGAATGCAGAACCAACGATCAACTGGCTCTTTTGTGGGAGAACTTATGTATAAAAACAGCTTTGACTGCTTTAAGAAAGTGCTACGCTATGAAGGCTTCTTTGGACTGTATAGAGGTTAGTGCCATGTGCTAAATTCCTGTAAGGTGAAATAATGGATTAGAGACACACCGCGTTAAAACGGAAATACAGCAGATTCTCAATTATCCATGCTATTGGGAGTAGGCTGGAGGCATCTGGGGCATGGCTAATCAAAACAGCCCATAATCTGAAAGCTATTTATATTGCTCTGTAGTATGTTTTATTTCTTAAAAATACTTGTGAATAAGCATCTTCTGTGAGTTTTCATCACTCATAGAAAGAATCCCACAGACGCTCACTGCTTTCCACTGGCCTTGGCCTAAAGAGACATGACTTTACTTCCCAACCCTTTTGTGTGATCGCCCTCTACAAAGAGAAGAGAAGCAAGCGTATGTACATCAGCTAAAATACAGGATCGCAAGGCAGTTCAAGCTGAGCCCACTCACCATTTGGCAGCTGTAAAGCTGGCGGGGCCTTCCTCCTTTCCCCTACCGGTGCTTGCTCTAGAAGAAAATAGTATTTAGTGCTCGGCAGAGACAGATTTGAACTGCAGCCAGGTAAACCTGTACCTCTAGACCTCTTCTGCCATCTGCTGACTCATCTTCATCTTAAACACCCAAGTTAAAAAAAAAAACCAAAAACCAAACAAACAAAAAAAACCCTTTCTTGAAATCTCTCACCTTAGAAACTAGGAGGTTTCAGACTCCAGAGGAGTTCCATTTTGCAGGTTCTATTGTGTAGCAGATAACCCCATCAAAGGCCTTTTGATCTTTTCCCTGCCCTCCTTCTCTCACTCCTTGCCTCTTCTGACAATTGGGAAGGTCTTTGACCCCAGGTGATTGATGATGACCCTTACTGGGTCACTGCCTTCCATTTGAAATACGTTTACCTCCTGTGACAACCAACCTGGCAAATGAAATGTCTCCCAAGTAGTACAAGGTTAATGTCACAGTTCCTGCTTCTCAGTGGTTCAGGTAAAGGCAACCACCTCACCTGTTCACCTGGGTCGTTTTCTGCAAGGAGGGCTTGCGCTTCAAGTGGGACAGATGTTTGAGCCTTGGTGTTGCTTCACAAACTAAACTACTTTTATGGGCTTTCTTGGGTATTGGATGAAATAGCACTTTGCCTTGAGAATAGTGAGAAATACATTTTGTCCTGCTGAATGTCTTTACTGTGCTTATGTTGACCCAGTTTGTTTTTAATTTTGAGTCCTTTATCTTTCATCTTTGACCACACCTGGCAGGTCTTGCTTGATTCTTGGTTGCATCTGATTTCTTTCCTCAACTTGGCCCTTTGACCCTGTGGACAGAACAGCTTAAAACGTACCTGAGTTCTGAGGGCTGAGCTAATATGGGCCGTCCCACAAACCTCACGCACACGCTGTGCGGGAGTGACTGGTTTTAACCCCTCAGGGAAGGGGGAGTGAGTGGCCCAGTAGATAGAGATGGAGCCTCACTTTGAACACCAGAGAGGCAGCGCCTCACCCTTCCCCTGGCTTAGAAATAGCCATTTATCTTACCTCTTTTGGGTGCCTGAACCTTGAGGGGTTCTCTGTCAGAGCATGATGGTAAGTAGAGAGTGAATAGAAGGTTAGTTCTGGGAGTCACCTATGTTCCTTTCTCCCTGATTTCTTGTCTTTTTTAGCAGGTGATTTTAAAGCAAAAGATTTACTGTAAAATTGTTTAACTCTGTTCTGTCATTTGGATCTTGAGAGCAAAGAGATGATGGGCAGTTCAGGTTTTTAAAAAAATGTGCTGTCTTGCTTCATAAATGACTTATTGCTAGCCTTGATTGGCTGGGGACCAATACCCTTTAGTGCCTCGCACATAACCATGAATTAATAAGTGTATGTAACTACATATTTGTAAATGTTTGTCATTAGGCAAGAGTGAGATCACTTGAAAATGGGAACCATCATTTCTAGCAAAAAATGATAATAAAAACAAAAAGACCTGAAGTATTTCTGAGAATCAGTATTCTAACCTTTGATTATAAAGTCAAGATATAAAACACCCCATGTGTGATCCTTTGACTGTAAATTTCTCATTAAATGTAATTTTTATTGCTTAAAAATTTTATTATTCCCAAGGAAAACTGTTAAATTTAAATTTTGAGAGTTTAGAATTGCTGCTGTGAATGCTTCACCTAGCAATATTTGAGAGGGTGTCAGAGCACATCTCTTAATTTATAAACATGTTTTGAAATATTGAGCATATTTTTTCCTATTCTGGAGTTTTGCTTAATATGTAATTTTCTGCATCAAGACATAGATAATTGCTAATATTTCCTGAAAAGTATAATTTGGGAATGTTACACAAGTAAAGTCTCTTCCCTATTTTAAAATTATATGTATGTATATTTTGGGGGGGAAAAACGTGGCAATTGGTCTTGAAAGAAGGTGATTGCACTATGTATCCTTATTATAAAGTTAATAAGCATCTCTCTCCCTCTCATTTTTCTTCTTCTAAAAAGAGTACAGATCTCTAAAGGGAAGCTGTTTTTGTATTTAGAAGTAAGTTCTCATGGAACTACTAGAATGATGGTTCTTTTTAAAGAACTCTTTCAGTACAAGTTGTTTTTCTGCTTCCGTTCTCTGGCAGCGGCCAGCATCTGTACACAGTCCTGGAAGTTATCCAGTCGTAACCCGGGAGCATGTTAGAACCACTGCCGCCTAGTCCAAAGGAGACGGCTAACCCAGTTGTCTTCAGTAGACATGGAGTCCTGTGCTTCAGGGTGCCACATGTAATTTTACTATTGTGGTTGGTTAGGTCTTATTCTTCATATTTCTGTGTTTCTTGGTCTCTGGGAGTCTCTTATTTAGGGAGAAGGTAAGTTTTGGTTGTTAGAAAAGATCCTCTTAGAAATCCTATGAGACTGACTCTGTGAACCTTCTCTATAATACAGACTACTTTCTTTACAAGATCGATTTTCCTAGGTTTTTGTATAATTTTTGAAAATCTGGCCTCCAGGCTAAATCTATCTATATTAAAGGAAATAGCACCTTAGATAATGCAGATCTCTCTGAAGTCACTTGTGAAAGCCTTCCTCTGTTTCTTCCCCAGTCTTCATATTGATTTAATGCATTCAAGTGTTTAAAATCCTTAATGAATTACCTGACAGCTCATTTGGTTTGAATGAACCGCATGACCAAATGAGTCAGTTATTGGCCTGCTCTAGACTTGGCATATTAACGAGAAACAATTGATTGAGTAATCATCCATAATTAAATGCTCTTAATGTTCCAGGAATAACCAATTTCTGCCTTTAAGCTTTGCTGTGCTCTCCTTCCTTAGATGCTACAGGTAATGAGATGAGTAGCTTTAGAAACTAGAAAAATGTTTTTGGGAGGCCCTTGGGGAGAAAGAGGGATTCAAAAAAAATCAGAATCCATGAGAAATACTTCTTATACTTCTTAAAGGAAGCTTTTGGTTTTTATTTCTATTGGAAGGCTAAGCCATAAAGAAAATCTGCCAAGAAGAGAAACTAGATCATTTCATGAATTAAACTTAATTTTGAGCACTACTTTATCTTTGAGGTAATTGGCAAACAAAAGTTTTATTAATAAGCTCATTGATCCAGGCTTATAAAGTTTTAAATGTGTCTATTTCATGTTGTCTGTATGATATAAAAGCAGTCATCTTCCATCCTGGAATGTTCTCAAGGTGACATCTAGAGGATATTGTAGTGATATCTCAGGAAGTTATTGATTTGTTTGCATTCTAGAAGGAAGTTTTGTCAGGCAGCTAGTTTAAGCTAAGTCTCTTTTTGTAGTTAATGGCTCCATAGAAGGGAGTATCCAAATTATATGCTCCACAGTGATATTCCTTCTTGCACAATTCTTGTGGATAGAAATAAATTTAAAAATTCTAGCACCGAAATAAAATGGAGTTTCTGCAACTCTGTTTGCCATAACTTAAGAATGCATGCATCTTAGAACAAACAACAGTGAATCCGTGAACTTTACTGAGTCACGGGTGCCCATCCATGTCCACCAAGGCTTCTATTGAGTGCAAAATGGATTGGTTCGAGTTTTGTATTCTTGGTCAATTTCTGCATATTTTCTTGGAGGTTATTAAGCTGTGAAAAGATCAAAAGGCAGATATTTGCTTAGAGGAGACCAAGCAGAAATGAACAAAAGATTTGGGCAGCCCAAATGAACTGGGTAGTCAAATCTCCTGAAACCTTCAGTGAGCTAAGTGTCCTGAGCACAGGGCATTAAAATAGGAGATAAGGCAGCACTAACTTGAAATCGGGGGCGTGGGAGGTTTGCAAGGGCTAGATGAGAACAACGATGAGCTAGAAAATTGGGAAAGGTGACAAAAAGATGGAACTAGACATACCCTGGAGAAGAGAAGATTAATGAATGAAATAGTTCCAAAGAATGATAATTTACAACTAGCTACTGGCGTTGCTGAGACTGAAACAAGGGACATAGATTAAATCTCAACTCCAAGGAAATAGTTTAGGTAGAAGAGCAGGTAACCAGGACTCTGAAAGTTGCCCTATCCCAGAGTGAAACACTGAAGGAAAGGGTGTGATCCTTCTTCCCAATCACTGTCACTTCTAGAAAGCCCCCCAAATAGAGGAATAGCCAAAGGAACTAAATTTTTTTCTTGACCGTATCATTAATTCACACTTGATCACTCCGTCTCCCAAAGGCATCCTGAGCCACAGCTAAGACGACAGATGGTTCTTGACACTTTCAATAAAACATTTAACCCACATAAACAAGCATTTAAATCTTAATATCTGCCATTGTGCTCCCCTCCCCCATTCCCCCGTGCCACTGTACAGTCACCTTGGGGTGGAGAACCGGGTTGAATGCGGCCTGTGAAAGGGGATAGTGCAGTTGGGAGGGTGGAAATGCCTCATGCCTAGAGGCAATATGAGTCAAAAGCGGACAGACAAATGGGAAAAGGAGGAGGGAGGAAAGAATGCTTGAACAAGTGAGGAGAGAAGGCCATGGAAATAGGAGCAGGAATAAAAGCTGTGAGGCGGGGCGCGCAGGGTGCTGATAGCTCCAGAATGAAGGTTAA